GGGGATCCCCATCCCCGCAAAAAAAAAAAAAAAATAATAATTTACTTTTCAAATTTAAACCCAAATCCAAACCAATTAAAATTAAACTTATCAAATACTATTTAACCCAACCCAACCTAACCCAACCCCACCCAACCAAATCCAACTCAACCAAACCAAACCCAATCCAATTTAACCAAACCCAACCCAACTCATTCTCCTAAATTTAACCCTAACCCTAATTCATTTCTCTATTCTAATCACTCTCACTCTCACCTTCTCATATCTCAATTTCTGCCTCTAGTTTGTCGCTCATGAATTTGCTCTGTTGCTGCTCACAAATCTGCTTTGCTCTCCACGAACCCTTCGGCTCGTTGCTGCTCACGAATCTGCTCTGCTCTAATCTGCTGCTGCTCACGAGTCCTTCTGTTCTTCACGAACCCTTCTACTCTGCTGTTGCTCACTCTGTTGGTTGCTGCTCACTATGTTGACTGCTGCTCACGAACCCTTTTGCTATGTTGCTATCAAAAGCCATCTACTCTGTAAAAGATAAATTAGAATTTGATATTTGGCGGGGAATGGGGATCCTGGCAGGGAACAGGGACGGGGTAAAATCTATCCACATCAAAAATCTCCGTGATATCCCCATCCCCGTGAATTGCAGGAACAGAGATGGGGAGGGATCCCAAGCCCCGCGAGGCCCCGTTGTCATCTCTAAACTCAAACCAACTTCCTCATTTGCCTTAAGCTTCGTTTGGAACACCCTTTAGTGTGTGTTTGTTTTTAGTTTTTATATTTTTTTATTATTTTTAAAATATATAAAATATTAATTAAAATTAAATATTTTTAATATTTTTTATATTTTTTTTAAATGTAAAAAAAACTTATAACTGTGTTTATAATTTAAAATTATCAAATTAAATTTTAATTTAATTGAAAGAGAAAATTACCATTTCTGCTATTTTACTTGAAAGGCCAAGTTTAAAATTGTTTATGTCAAATGAATGGATATATAACAATAAATAATATTTTTCTTGTTAAATCTTTTTTCTAAAAAATTTATTTCAAAATTTAAATAGCGTTCATCAGGAATAGAGTAAAATTGGTTACCTATAAAAAAACCCAAGGTTCAGATTCAAATTACCTAAAAAATCATGACCTCTCATCATAAGTTGAGTAAATCTCCCCGCGCAGAATCCCTTCCCTCCTACGAAGATACAGAGTTACACATTCCTTCTATTTTCTCAGTCATTCATTTACGTTTGGATTTGTGTTTTCATGGGAAAAAAAAAAAAAACGTTTATTCCTATTAAATTCTGAATTCTCAGATTCTTTGCTTACCTTTAAACCTCTCCAAACTCGCCACCGCCGATTTGTTCCGCCGATTGCGTACAAGTTTTGTCGGGTGGTTTGAGCAGGAAGAGCATGAATGCGAGCGAAATTTTGAGGGATTTCGGCGGTTTGATTCTGTGAATTTCTTTAGGTTAGGTTTCTTCAATTTTTATTTATTGAATTCGTACAAGATGGAGAAGTACAAGTTGGTGAAGGACATAGGATCGGGAAATTTTGGGGTGGCGAGGCTGATGCGAAACAGAGAAACCAAAGAACTCGTCGCCATGAAGTACATTGAGCGCGGCCATAAGGTCCGTACATGTTTTTCTTCTTTTGTGTTTATCACTGTGTCATCCGAATATAATTCGGTTCAAGGAGGTTGATTTTGTTTGAAATAAATTAGTTGGGCTTGCACATTTGCAAGAATTCCTTACTTACGTGAATTTTTATTTTATTTTATTTTATTTTAAATTTTGATGTTGCAGGTGGTTTTGACTCCTACTCATCTGGCCATTGTGATGGAGTATGCTGCAGCAGGCGAGCTGTTTCAGCGAATTTGTAATGCTGGGAGATTCAGTGAAGATGAGGTTTGAATTTGATAAGATTTCAAGAACTTTGCTTTCTGTTCTGATTACTAATTATATTTTTTATTTCGGGGGAATGCGTTGCCTTTGTTTTTGCCATTTGGAGAAAGGATAATATTATCTTACTTCGTATATTTTTTCTAACAAGTAGAGGTTTATTTTTATGGTGCATTCTCTTTTCGTTTTTGTTAGTTGAGGTAGAAAATTGAGTAACAAGAAGTAGGAAGGTTATGTTAATTCAAAATTGGAAATTTCAACCAATAATTGTTCGTTTATTTTCATTCTACGTACTAATATTTTTTCTTTGTTTATTATTATATTTTAAATGTTGCAGGCAAGATATTTTTTCCAGCAGCTTATTTCAGGCGTTAGCTACTGTCACAGTATGGTAAAGAAAGTTTAATTTAATACTTGTATGTTTTTAGAGTTTAGGATGTCCTTTGTTGTATAAATAATATTTGCTTCTTTTTTTGATCTTTTAGCAAATATGCCATAGAGATTTGAAGTTAGAGAATACCCTCTTGGATGGAAGCCCAGCCCCACGTCTGAAAATATGTGATTTTGGATATTCAAAGGTTTGGCTAAATATAGAAATTATAATAGCAAGCATATTGACTTTTACAAGTGTGCCTTGGTGATTTTGTATATCTTCTAAGAACTCATTCTTTTTCTACAGTCATCTCTACTGCATTCAAGACCCAAGTCAACAGTTGGAACTCCAGCCTACATTGCGCCTGAGGTCCTTTCTAGGAGAGAATACGATGGCAAGGTAATTGTCTTCATGGTCAAGTTTCAAGCTTTGCTCTAATGCTTAGTCATTTTGTTCTAATTTCATGACGGCGTTGACTTGTTATCTGTTAAAGAAGTTGAGGAAGATTGTATGTTATCTAAAAAGCATAAAAAGCATGTGGTATGAGACTTTAAGTGTTAGATATTGTGTCATTATTGGTTTTA